TGATTTGATCGGGAGTTCATGGCAAAAAACTCTTATGACCCTAGAAACGTCATAAATGACGTCACGCAAGGTCAACCATGCAAAAAAGAAGCATCAAATCTTGCAAGGAGTGCATGAAATCACTATTCCGTGCGCTTGGGATAGTTTGAGATCGTTTCCGGTGCCAAAATAGCAATGTTCATTTTCTCCATTGACTAGTAGGTAGTGGTGAGGTAACGTGACCGACCTGACCTCATGTGACCTTTAGAAAAAAAAAATCCGAGATATACAAGTTTTGAAACTTCTAGAGGATACTAGTTACTACATCCTAAAGCTTCATCTCTCTGTGAAAGTTCCTCTGGCACTGAGGGCGTTGCGAAGTTACGACATCTGAGGACCGTGCAGAGGTTCACTTATGACGGCATAGGTCAGTGACCCGACCTGACCTGAAAATGCAGTTGGTGTCGTCACAAGATCCGGCTTGAAGCAAAGATCAGGTACGCCAAGTTTCAGCTCTCTACCGCCATGTTCAGTCGAGTGTTCGGAGCTATCGCGAAAAAAAACTTGCCCCCCCCCCCCCCCCCCCAGGGCCTGAGAAGTGAGAAGGTTGAGGTATCGGTCACAGACGCACCGGCACGGCTATGTACGAACTACGAGGTCCATTCATTTGACGTCAACGACGAACGAAGCGGGGGAGCCGGCCGTGCGATTCCTCACCAGCACCTCTCGAAAAGGTATCTTTTGGAAATCTCAAGACGGTCCTTCTAGAAATCCGGAACGCAGACAGAAGACCGACCACTTGCCACGGGGAAAACGTCTGATCCACGTATGATGCTTTCGTGAGCATGTTACACAGCTTCAGGGGGAAAAAGGCAGGCTGTCCAGAAACGCCGAATGTCAGGAAGGTGTCAGGATTGGAAAGTGATATGCAAGAAAACCGCTGACAAGGGAGACGACAAGCGCAAGAAATATTATCCATTTGTTTGTTTGTTTGTTTTTTACCTAGGTTTTATTAAGCCCGATCTCGCAGGATTTGTTCGGTTAGTGGATAGCCGCGTCCCCGACATATCCTCTGGGTTTTTAGGCCGATTTATTTCCCGATTTAGTCGTTTCTTGATCGAGCCACAATCAGTGTCCGTGATTTACAGCCGTTAAATGATTCCCTCGTCAAATAACTCGACGTTTTCCTGATTCGAACCCATTTTACATCAACCGCATGTCCGAAGTTGACAAGGTCAGTCGCTTCAATCAGCTATTACTCATTTGACGGATCTCAGACACGTAACCCACATTAATCGTATCCGAGCATCAACTCCAATACGGATGTTCGATTCGGTAGAATCTGTTGATTGGGACAGTGCCTGTCCGAGTTATTGAAGATGCCTATCATTGCGAAAAGCGACTTGAAATCGGTCACAAATCGGTTACAAATGGCGAATGGGCATAACACGCCCCTGCGGGGAACACGGACATTAACCCGCGACCTGGTGGGGGGGGGGGGCTATTTTTTGCCCCCCTCCAGACTTTTCGATATATCTCCAGAACCGCTGCGCCGATCGTCACCAAACTTTCAGTACCCTCCCGGACATCAATTTTACACATGGTGACCAAAAATTTTTCCAAAGGCTATGATAGGTTGGCCGGAAATGACGTCAGAGTGACGTCATGTTCTGCCGTTTTCGACCCAAAAAAGGGTTTCGCGGGAAGAGCTGTCAGGCCTATAGCTTTGCAAATACAGAAAAATGATAAGGACATAAAAGCTGTAGAATTGACAGGGCTACAAAACTGCTATCTCGTATTTTTGAAATTTTTGGATTTTAACCCCCAAAAATCAAAAAATAAATTTTTTGGATATAATGATCGAAAAATCCAAAAAGTTTTTTGAATTTCGCAAAAACCGGAATATATGTGATAGTCCTTACCGCCTTCCATCCACATACCAAATTTGAGATTGATACCTCTTTTTTTGGCGAAGTTATAGTGAAAAAACTGTTCAAAATTGATGACGTCAAATTTTCAAACTCAATTTTTAGCCATTCTAGACCCCGTAGCGCAAAACAAAGACCACCATTGGACTCCCCGTGACGAGCTGCATCGAATCAATACCCATTTTATGCAAAACTATCAACTTTAAAATTTGACCTTTTTTGGCCTGACCTTGACCTGACCTTGACCTGAACTTCACCAGAAAGTGACCTAAGCCGTACCTGATAGTCTTATAACCAACACCATTGAGTTGGAAATGAAAAATTGGCCATAAAACATGCATCACACAACCTTAGTAAAGTTGGGCTCATGTGACCTGACCTGTGACCCTTGGTGACCTGACCTGTGACGTGACCTGGTATTGTCAGTGACCTCTAATAGCAACATATCTACTAGGCAACTGACGCCCTATCGCTGATTCTCGACAAAATGCGTTTTCCTCGGTGTTATAGCGCATTCCCTAGAAGACCCGTGAACGGTGAAACATTTCATCTTTGACCTGACCTGTGACGTCATCGGTAACCCCGAGGTCAATGAAATTTGGTTTTCTTCGATAAATTTGACAGGCCTTTCGAACGCCGTTTGAATTTTGCGGATCCGTCCAGTAGTTTCGGAGATACGAGGGGGGGGGGGGCAAAAAATAGCCCCCCCCCCCCACCAGGTCGCGTTATAAACAGACCCCACCAGGGCGCGGGTTAACGCTGCACGGACCGCGTACCACTCTTGCAAGACATTGTTCTGGTACCGGCAGCCAATCCAGCCATAAGATCCGCCACCGAGTCATATCTCTCTTCTTCTTTCCTCCCCCCCCCCCCCCACACACACACACACCTCGTACTCCGTTCGTAATCGATAGACGTCTATCCCTCCCTCGAGCGAGAGGTACAGCTAGGGGATCAACCGACCAAACAATACGTTTTGTCAACTCTCTATCTCCATCGAACATATGGGCTAGGGCCTTGATATGGGCGATGTGATGGTTTTATCAGCAAAAGGATGGTTCTAACTGATCCTCTCCTCCACTTCAGCTCTCGGGGAGCATAGCAACAAGGGCCAAGCGACCTTTCATGACTAAGCCAGCTCGAATGTATTGAAAACGTCAAGAGATGTGTACTGTGTCGTATACGTGGTGGCAGGCGGAGCCCGGGGTGGTGACAGGCGGAGACAACGGGCGGCAGCCGAACAACAGGCGTCAGGGAGAAGCCGAAACGGCTCAGGCCGGTGGGCGTCACTGGCAGTCCTTTTGCCATCCCGTCCCTGACACTGTCTCACGAAGGGTGACAACACCCGCAAAACCAGGGTGTGGGTAAACTGTCCTCGTTTTTGGCTAAATGCTTCGGATTCGACGCTTTACCCTCGCTGTCCGAAAGAATATCATTTTTATCAGACCACTTTCCATCAGAAAGGGAAGGGAATGATGCACTGATGCAGAAAAGTGGGATGCACCCGACCCTTCGATGCTTATTGCGTGAGGGTGAAATTGAAAGTAAGAGTAAGAGTGAATGATAAAGAGTGAGTAAGTGAGTGAGTGAGTGAGTGAGTGAGTGAGTGAGTGAGTGAGTGAAAGAGTGAGTGAGTGAGTAAATGAGTGCGAGGGAGAGAGAGAGAGAGAGAGAGAGAGAGAGAGAGAGAGAGAGAGAGAGAGAGAGAGAGAGAGAGAGAGAGAGAGAGAGAGAGAGAGAGAGAGAGAGAGAGAGAGAGAGAGAGAGAGAGAGAGAGAGAGAGAGAGAGAGAGAGAGAGAGAGAGAGAGAGAGAGAGAGAGAGAGAGAGAGAGAGAGAGAGAGAGAGAGAGAGAGAGAGAGAGAGAGAGAGAGAGAGAGAGAGAGAGAGAGAGAGAGAGAGAGAGAGAGAGAGAGAGAGAGAGAGAGAGAGAGAGAGAGAGAGAGAGAGAGAGAGAGAGAGAGAGAGAGAGAGAGAGAGAGAGAGAGAGAGAGAGAGAGAGAGAGAGAGAGAGAGAGAGAGAGAGAGAGAGAGAGAGAGAGAGAGAGAGAGAGAGAGAGAGAGAGGAGAGAGAGAGAGAGAGAGAGAGAGAGAGAGAGAGAGAGAGAGAGAGAGAGAGAGAGAGAGAGAGAGAGAGAGAGAGAGAGAGAGAGGAGAGAGAGAGAGAGAGAGAGAGAGAGAGAGAGAGAGAGAGAGAGAGAGAGAGAGAGAGAGAGAGAGAGAGAGAGAGAGAGAGAGAGAGAGAGAGAGAGAGAGAGAGAGAGAGAGAGAGAGAGAGAGAGAGAGAGAGAGAGAGAGAGAGAGAGAGAGAGAGAGAGAGAGAGAGAGAGAGAGAGAGAGAGAGAGAGAGAGAGAGAGAGAGAGAGAGAGAGAGAGAGAGAGAGAGAGAGAGAGAGAGAGAGAGAGAGAGGAGAGAGAGAGAGAGAGAGAGAGAGAGAGAGAGAGAGAGAGAGAGAGAGAGAGAGAGATGGTCCGCACAATGGACTGTGCAGACCACCGACGTGGTGCGCCGCAGCAGCAGAGACCCCGGCGGGACGGGGATGTGTCAATGGGACAGGCGCTCAAAAGGTCACCCCGGAGTGGGTGTAGTCCGCTGAAGACTGGCCCTCGACACCGGTTGTCTGGTGGGGAGCGACCACCAGCCCGGAAAGGGAAGCATGAGGGAGGATGTGGATGGGCTTGTCCTGAGGAAGGTAAGGGCAGTTAAAGTGATATTGGGTCCCATTCGCGTTAAGATCGGTTCTGACCATTTGTGGCAAGATTCGCGGGTTCATGGACCACCTCAAGTAAATATCCATTCGATAAATTAGGACTTAGGTCATCTTTACCATTGCTCTGGTTTGGTTCATTCCAACGTCGTTCATTCTAAACTCCAAGTTCATACAAGCGGGGCGGTGCTGGCGCACACCTCAAACTTGGATCGTCGGTGGACACAATGGAATCTGAGGATCAGGGTCGGTCGATAGTTCGGGCGTCGGCCACCGCCGGTCGCGGCGCCACTGTCGCCATGACAACGGCACCCACCACAGCAGTAGCCGGATCAATGCAGCGGACCCGCGCCGGCGGCGGCCCGCCCTGCAGTGGTGACCGAGTGACCGCCCGGCCAGCGCCGCACCGCCGCCAGCCATGGGGAAGAAAAAGGAGCCACCGAAGCCGACCGGCGGCCTGGAGCAGAGCGGCATCGAGAAGCGGCTGTGCAACTGCATCTGCCTGTGCCAGCTGATGTCCATCATCTCGGGCGTGGCGCTGCTCTACCTCAGTGTGATCGTCGTGTCGCCGGCCAAGCAGACGCTGGACGCCCAGTTCGTGGAGCCGTCGGTGGTGTGCACCACGCTGCGCGTCGAGGACGGCGACTGCGAGCTGCCCTCCTGCGGCGAGTGGTGCATGTCCAAGGGCGGCACCAACTGCCCCATCGTGTACGCCAAGGTGCGTCACAAGGGCACCACCGTGCGCTTCAGCCAGTGCAGCGGCATGCAGAGCCGCTTCTGCTCGGCGCAAAAGTTCAACGAGACGCAGAGCTTCGTCTGCTCCGAGAAGGACAAAAAGGACGATAAGCGCGGCCAGTGCGACCGGCTGAACCGCATCATGGACTGCCGGCCGACCAGGATGGAGAAGAAGCTGGAGGGCCTGCGCACCAACATGACCTCACTGTGCCGCAACATCACCGCCATCAAGGAGTGCGTCGGCAAGAACAGCTCCTCGTCGGCCGTCACGCCGCAGGGCATCATGGCGTGCTCGCAGTACACGTGCAACGACTTGAAAGGCATCTACGAGTGCATCAACGGCAACTGCAAAAAGTACGAGGACCCCGTCTGCACCGACCGCTGCACCTCGCTCAAGATGGGCAACGTCGGCATCGTGACGCCGAACCTGTTCCGCTGGGGCACCTGTGAGCAAGCCGAGGTGAACGGCACCGTCGTCTGGAACGACGAGGACAAGCCGCTCTCGCTGTACTGCTCGCGGATGGAGGAAAACGAGTCGGGCACCGAGCTGACCGGCGAGGACTGTCTGAACGGCACGCTCGACAACCCCGACCACTTCAGCGACATCACCAACTACACAGAGATCCTGGCGCTGCTGGACGAGAACGCCGAACCGCTGGACGTGACGCACACGGCGCTGCCCAGCGAGCGCTCGGTGCTCATCTCGAACGGCACCAAGGTGATGATTAACATCCAGGGGTGCGTCAACACGCTGCAGAAGGAGTGCACCGCCTGGCTGGACGAAAAGTCTCGCGACGGCAACGACGGCATGCACCCGGCCGTCTACCCGTGCTACGTGACGCCCGAGTCGACCAGCTACGTGGTGACCAACTACAACCGCAGCAAGACCGTGTTCCAGATGGTGCTGGCCACCGTGGTGCCCAGCGCGCTGCTCATACTCTCCTGCTGCTGCCTCGTCCTCTGCGGAAAGACGGTCGGCGTCAACGAGTTCGGACTGTTTTTCTGTAAGCCGTGTCACAAGCAAGAGGGCGACGGAGGTAAACAGCCGGCCAAGCAGAGCGCGCCGTGACAAGTACAGTACCCTCCGGGTTTCGCCAGCACGGCTCGAGACGTCCGCCTTGCACTCGCACGACCCGCCCGGCGGCACGGGGCTACCCCCGGTCAGGTCGGAGGGGTCGGACGGATGGGCAAAGGGTCCTTAACCGGCACGGCCTTTCATATGCATGTCCCTATGCATTTACGTATCCATATTTCGGTTTCCGGACTTTGCTACAGCTTTGAAGATTATTTAATTGCTTTGGCAACGAATAGGTTATCTAAAATACAACAGTACGTTGCAATTGCCATTGCGTAGCGTTCGCCTATAAATGAGCGGACGCGTAACATGTACGAATATTCTCCAGATAAAACTGACCAACTGTAAAATTAAGCACCTTTCATCTTGCCCAAAAGCAGAGGTACTCAATTTCAGCTATATTTAATAATTCGCCCCTGATTCGTCCTCCTATCAATGCTAAACTCTGCTAAACAATGCTAAACGTCCCGACCCTTATTTGTGCTTTTGGCTTTACAGTCCCGATGCATGGTGCCTTATTGAATTTTTTACTTTAAAAGGATCCAAAAGAAAGGCTCAACAGCCCCGAGCTGTGCGTCCGTCTACCCTCGCCCTGTCGTCCGACGCCCGCCGACCTGACCGGGTGCGCCCCGGCTCGGCCGCCGGCCGTGGCCCGTTTGGTCTCAACTCTCACAGCATGGCGCCGGCCCCTGGCGACTCCTGAGAGTGGCTGCCACTTGGCACTGCTTCTGTGACGGACGACCCCGCCCCCGAGCCGTCGGACCGACTGCCGTCGCCGGACGCAGTCGGTTCCTCCGACCACTGTGGGCCGCAGCCACCTAACCCAGTGCTGACCAATCCGTGCCGCTCAATCCGCCCGTGTGCTGTGGTGACTGCTAATCATGGTGGATGGTAAACGCTCGCCCTCACGGCATTCATCTCACGCCTCACAAGGCTTAACGGAGTGATATTCAACTGCATGTTGGCTGATAATTGTGTTCACACCCTTTTTCAATTAGCATGGCCAACTGACGGATGAGAGAAACGACATTATCTCTCGCCGTTTTGGTGTTTTCTTATTGTTCCCACACAAAGGTTACCACCAGAGCAGTTTGGTGTGGCTTCCTTTTGGCTCCCCTACCGATTACTCTCTCCCAGTTCAACTGTGCCGTCACTAACCAATCACCGGTCACTACCTCTGACCGGTCACCTCTGACCCGTCTCCGTCCGCTGTCTAACGCGCCGCCCCGTCCGCCGTTGCAGGGAAGCCACAGCTGGACGCCCTTTGACAGAGCGCGCGGCGACCGTACCGGAGGGCCAGTGCGGGTGGCGAGTCGGACTGCCTGCTCAGCGGCCGGGACGCCTAGTCGCCGCCGCCGCCCCCGCTCAGCTGTCGCTCTGCCGATCTGCCCGACGCCGCCCAGCAGTAGGCCGCCTGCACTCGTTCTCTCTCCGCTTTTACCCTCCCCGCCCGCTAATGTAGTCCGCCTGTCCACTGCTTCCTCTCAAGATGCCTAAGAAGAAGCCGCATCCGCTGTCGCGGCTGCGCTACTACGTGACGCTGCTGGCCAGCGTGGTGGCCATTGTCTCGTTTTGCGCGCTGCTCTTTCTGGTGCCGTTCGTGTTCGACCCGGCCATCTCGACGCTGTCGGCCGGCTTTCCGGAGCAGCCGGCCACCTGTCGGCTGGCGGCGCTGCGCATTGGCGAGCGGCTCTCCTCCTGCAACTGGACGTCGTGCAGCGAGGGCTGCACGGCGCCGCTGGTCACCTGCGTCCAGCTGCTGGTCGACGTGTCGCACGTGCCGTACGAGCAGTTCGACCGCGCGCCGGCCGCCTACGACCAGTCGGTCTGGCAGCTCAGCCAGGTGCCGCTCAAAATCAACATCCAGAGCTGCGGCTACCCGCCGCGCGTCAACTGCACAGTCTTCTGGCGCCAGCTGCTGGAGGCCGCCGACGGGCCCGGGGGTGCCACCGACGGGCCGGGGAATGCCGCCCAGCCGCCCACCAAGCTGACCCCTCTGGAGCGGCTGCAGCGCCGGCTGGCCGACGGGCCGTTTCCGGTGCCCTGCTTCCCCAGCCGAGAGATGCCCGACATGGTCATCTTCAGCTACGACTACAGCCGGGAGCTGACGACGCTAGTGCTGGCGGGCGCGGTGCCGGCCGGCGCCATACTGCTGACGGTCGGCTTCCTGTGCTACTGCTACTGCGGCTGGTGCCGCCGCTCGTGTCCGCAGCTCCACATACCCGGCGAGACGGACCGGTGAGTGACCAGCACAGAGTATCTGCTTCATACGGTGTACTGTACTGCTGACGGACAGAGAGGATAAACTTCGTACCGTACCGCTATCCCTAGCACGCACATGCTATTTCTCCATCCCGTAAAATACGCATGAGCCATGTCGATTGCCATATCACGGTCAGTTTCATTCCTAATGCCGATTTCATCTAAACTTTTTTTTACCAATGTCTGGCCATCCCAAGCCAGGTCAGAGGTAAAACTTTGCTTTTGTGGATTGGTGAACCATTACTATTTCGGAAGAAACGTCGCAGTGGTTTCTTGGCTGGCAGATTTGTCCCACCGACCGGCCGGGACTCTGTTGCGTCGCCGACTGACCTCTGTCTTCACCGCAGGCCCAGCATGGTACCGCCGGAGCTCACGGTCTCCATGGCGTCCAGTGTCACCGAGAAGCAGTAGCCTGACTGCGGTCACCAGGACCGAGTCTTACAGCAGCCGGCCCCAGCCGCCAGCCGTCCTTCATCTGCAGCTTTCAGCCCGTTGCCTCACGTCCCATGTGGTGCCTTAGTTGGCGCGTCGGCGCTCGTTCTGCCCCCTTTCCTTCTTGGTGGCCAGTCTGAGTGAGCGGCGGCGATCGGCAGTACAAAGCGACAGCGGTGCCTCCGTCGGCCGCCGCGTGAACGACTCTGCGCGGTTAGTTTAGTTGCGCTGTAGCGCTAGATTGGTTTCGCCATGCCAGACTGACCAGGGTCGCTCGCGGATAAGGTAGGGTCAGGTCTTGGGGTCAGGTCTTGGTCTGCACCGCAGGATTGGGGTACAGAGCAGGTGGGGTGCGCACGGCTCGCTACCGGCAGTGACTATCTCTGTCGCCCTTGCAGTCCACGCCGACCGCATAGTTTGTCGCGTTTTTAAGTCTGAGCGACAGGCCTGCAGCTGCTGCCCTGCCGCCGCAGCGCACAGTATTACGGCGGCTCGCCGCAGTCCGCTCAGCTCGCCGCCTGCCGTCCCGCCGCTGCGCTGGCTAGTCGAGCAGTGCTCAGAGCTGCCCGCTGCAGCGCAGACAGCCTACGCACCGTACTGATATTAGCAGCGCCCTCGGAGGGCTGCCACCAGCGGCTCTCAATCATCCGGCAATATCGCGTGCGCGCCACGTTTTCGACTGTGATACTAGCGCGTAATACGCACGGTGCCTCGTTATCCCGTTTACGCACAGCCCGAGCATTATTTCACCCTTCCAACGATCGCGCTTAGAGGGTCGCTATGGGGAAAACGTGGGTATGCATCTTTAAGATTTTGCTTACATATGTAAGCGTGGTGTGAACTTTTTCATATTTTGTCTGAATGCAATAAGTCATTATCAATAAACGGAGCGACTATCTTTGTTGGCTGTGGACTACACTTCCCGTGTATCAAGTCTCTCATGCAGCGTGAGGTTCGGTGCTTTAACCCTATTAGTGGCAGGGGGGGGTTGTTTTTATCCACCCCTCAGGTTTTTCGGGAATATCTCCGAAACCGCTGAAGCTACGATGCTGAAATTTTCTGACTTTTCCTAAAACTAAATTGGGCACATTCCCTGAAAATTTCAAGTTCATAACTTTACCAGGGGCGGCTCCAGAGCACTGGGAATTGGGGGTCCTATTCGTGAAGCGAGTCATTTGGGCGAAGATCACGATGCTGCACCAGTTTTACGAACAGTGAATGAAAGGTATCATGTGATAACATATACAAAGTTATTGTGCATCCTCTTTTGACACGTTTTTGCTATAATAGGCGGATCCAGGCGTCCAAAAAGGGGGTTATTTTTTACCTCCCAACATAGGTGCCCTGACACCGCCTATGCATGACCAATACAATTTTAGTCGTTCTCTCATAAGAAAATTGTAACATAACAAGACCATTGCCACCCTTTTTAAAAACAGTACCAACAAAAACCTTATTTACTATACTTTTTGTGCACCCCCAATTTCAATGATCTGTATCCGCCTATGATTTTTGAAAATGCATATTTTTAGGATCCATGTGAATTCCTGGTTCATTCTCTATCGATCGGCAAAAGTTGCGTTAAGATTGGTTCAGAAACCTGGCCGTGATAAACAGTCTAAAATGTATCTGCAATTTGCCCGTTTTTACCCCCCTCTACCCCCCTATTGACATTTTTTAATTTTATTTTTTTTAGAAATGTAGATCTCGTTGAGCCAAATCGAATGCCGTTTGAATTTTGAAAATCGGCCGGTTAGATCTCGAGATATCAAGGGGGGGTCGTAAACAGCCCCCCCCCCTGCCACTAATATGGGGTAGCCAGGAGCCTGCCACTAATAGGGTTAACCGAAACGGATAGCACTAAAGTACGGTTTACTGACAAGTTTGATGCTAAACTCACCGTGCATGGGCCGTCTGTCGAGCGCAGTGCTGTCCAGCCGGGCGTCGGTGGGCTCTGATGGGTTGACAGGCCTCCCGGCGACTCTCGATGGCCTCACTAGTACACCGCCTCAATGGCCGGGTGGGCAGTGTCCCAGCACCACACTGGCCTCCGCACCGCTTCCCCTCCCTCACACAGGGGAGGCGAGGGGAGGACGAGAGGCTGTGTAACCTGAAACAGAGCTCCGGCCGTGCCTGGCCATTCCCGGGGAGTGGGGGGGGGGGGGGGACGGACACGGGGAAGGATTCGCAAGTGCGCAGTGAATTCTGAGGCTGAAGGCAGGGAGCTGGGAAACCCTGACATGTACCCCGAGGTTCCCACCAGGGTCTATCCCAAAGGCTGACCCCGGCCAGGGACTGGCCCCAATCAGGGGACTGACCTTGAGCTCCTCCTGACGTCGGAACTCGGCGGCCATCAGTTTCTTCTGCTCCTCCTCAGTCATCAGCGGCTCACGGCCCGGCGCGCCCTGGCCTACAGGCAGAGACACGGTGACAGATATACACAGGATGGTCACAGAGTGGCCATCAGCGGCTCACGGCCCGGCGCGCCTTGGCCTACGAGTATAGATGCCTACGGACACAGGTCACAGAGTGGTTGCACCCCGGTATTTCATCACACCCTAATGCCTGTTGACTGTGTAAAAAAGTGAGCGTAACAATCCCGGTAATCAGGGAGGATACTTAAATTCTTATTTTATTAGCCCAAACTTTTGCTCCGAAACGGTAAATACATACCTTTCTTCTGCAGTTTGACGACCACTTTGGTTTTCTCATTTTTCCCGATGTAGTCTGCCAGGGTCTTGCCTCTAAGCATTTCTTTCCCAGAGAACCAGAGCTGCGCGAGACCTGGATCCATCACCTGGCGAGATCCGGCGGCCAATGAGTCATTATGATCCCCTATCAATATGTAAGTACTGCTGAGGTCCCGAGCCTCAGTGAGTGTCCCTTGAAAAAGCAGTGCATCTTTTGTTTTGATGGGTTAGGCCCTTTCGGTATAACAAGACCATTTCAGGGCCGGAACGATGATAGGAATTAGGGGGAGACATTGGCCTGGGCGGTCACCCTAGAGAGTCACCGGGGCCGAGCCCGCCCGAATGGACAGGCCGACCAGCCCCCCCCCCCACGCACTCTCTGCACCCAGCTACGGGTGTGCTCCCTCAGGAGCAGCGGTACCGCCCCAAGGGAGCAGCCCGCATGAGATAAAGTTGCCTGTCCAGCCCGGAGGGCGTTGCAGCGTGCAGGAGAAGGATTTCGGTATCCTGAGGATGCGATGGAACGGTGTTGTCTCCCTTCGTATCTGCGTGCCACTGAGCTCCCAGTGGGTGCCGAGGTCTCGGTAGGTAGCTATTAATGTCACGATAGGTACCTGCAGTGAGGCCTGCGTGCCGCTGAGGTCCTCCCGGTTCTCCAGCTCCATGCGGACCGGGTCGTAGGGCGGCAGGCCCATCGGGTACACGATCATGGTGGCGCCGCGCAGGATGGAGAGCGCCTCGGCCACCAGCCGCTCCGTCAGCGGCACGCCGGCGCGCGCCTGGTCCTGGTGACACGGGTGAGAAGTTACGGACAGTACAGGAACGCCGGCAGACCAGGCATTGTGACACGGAACAACCAGGTACACGGACGTCGGACAGGTAACACCTCAATACCGACAGTGAGATCCAACACCCACAGAACATTCGCAGTACATGTTGTTACCAGCCCTGTGGCCTGTGGTGCGGTAGGTAGCGCCTACCTTGGCCACGATGGCGGCGGCCTCGTCCCTGGCCTTGGTGAGCACCTGGGCCATATTGTCCTTGGGCGCTCGGCCGTTCCGCCGCCCGAGCGGGTCAGCGCGCATCTGGAAGCCCCCCGAGGGCACGGCGATATCGGCCTGCGAGTCCTGCAGCTTCAGGTCTGTCACTTGATCCTCTGTGAGGCCAACCATCTCTGGCGGCAGCGCAATGCCATGCTGCGCCAGTTCCGAGAACTCTGCACAAACAGCCGACACACACCGTTATACAGGATGTCCAGAAAAAAAGATACTACGGAAATTAAGTCGCATTCATTGACGCACGTGCCGATTTTGTTCCAAATTCATGTGCTTTTAGTGCAAGATTTGGCAAAACTCATGAGCACTGTAATGCGTCGTTGGAAAGTTGTCTGCCTGCCCTCCGAGATGGTCAACATGACCATCAGTCACCTGCAGACTGTGCTAGTGCTGGAGCTGATCCGCCGTAAGGCCGCTCACATTGAGTATCTGCTTTGAGGAGCTGCCGCAACTAACCAAAGAGTTTACATGCCATGTGGCACCTGCTGTCTGTTTTGCCATATTTTGGCGAATACAAGCATGTGCCATTTTAAAATGTAAGGTGTTTATTTTCGGAATTACAGCAAAAAATAATAGTATCCGTTTTTTCTGGACACCCTGTATAATGGAAACTCCGTTAACTATGCACAGCCAGCCGACACGACATCATATTACGGTAGCTCTGAGAGCTGAGCACCGACAGCTGAACCACACCATCACAATATAGGTCATGGAAGATCAACATAGTTCATAAACAATTGCAACACCTGCATCGCACGTCTGAGCTTACTTCCATAACTGCTGGCTCAGCACATGTTTGAAGCACGTAAAAATGACTAAAATTCAAGTATTCAAAATCACATTATTACGGAGCGAGCGAAGCGAGCGTAGTCTTTACGGAGCGAGCGAGGCGAGCGTAGTCTTTCCTTAGATGAACGGAAATTTCTGAGTATGAGCGGCCGGCCGGCCGGCCGGCCGTGGTCACGCTTTTGCGAGGCTTATATCTCAGCAACCACTTGACCGATTTACACGCGGTAATTTTTGTAGGGTAGCTTCATTCCTTCTACCAAGTATTGGACTATTGCCGATGCATGTGGGTGACCCCTTATGCACGTGCCACGTGCAAAACGAAGAGGTGTCACTTTTGTAATTGTTGCAATATCTCGGTAATTACTTGGCCGATTGCGCTGAAAGTTGGCATGTAGGTAGGCACCCACTAGGCAATGCATATCCATGTGCCAGAGTTGGGGTGCTGCTGCACGTGCGCACGTGCAGGGGTCGATTCCAAATATCGAGAACGGCTGGACCGATGGCGCTCAAATTTGGCACATGGTTAGGGACTGGTTAGTAGGGTGGCGTGCAAAAGTCAGTTGGGACCCATTTTGCACGTGCGCACGTGCAGGGTGCCGATTCCAGATCTCGAGAACGGCTGGGCCGATTGTGCTCAAATTTGGCACATCGCTAGAGACCGGTTAGTAGGGTGCCGTGCACAAGTCAGCTGGAGGTACCCCTCGAAATTTCGCACGTGCAAGGCTCACCCTCTCGCTCGCTTCGTTAGTCGCCCATAAGGCGTTATACTGGTTCCTTAGATTAACGGAAATTTCTGAGTATGAGCGGCCGGCCGGCCGGCCGTGGTCACGCTTTTGCGAGGCTTATATCTCAGCAACCACTTGACCGATTTACGCGCAGTAATTTTTGTACGGTAGCTTCATTCCTTCTACCAAGTATTGGACTATTGCCGATGCATGTGGGTGACCCCTTATGCACGTGCCACGTGCAAAACGAAGAGGTGTCACTTTTGTAATTGTTGCAATATCTCGGTAACTACTTGGCCGATTGCGCTGAAAGTTGGCATGTAGGTAGGCACCCACTAGGCAATGCATATCCATGTGCCAGAGTTGGGGTGCTGCTGCACGTGTGCACGTGCAGGGGTCGATTCCAAATCTCGAGAACGGCTGGACCGATGGCGCTCAAATTTGGCACATGGTTAGGGACCGGTTAGTAGGGTGCCGTGCACAAGCCAGCTGGAGGTACCCCCTCGAAATTTCGCACGTGCAAGGCTCACCCTCTCGCTCGCTCCGTTAGTCGCCCATAAGGCGTTATACTGGTTTTGATCAATTCTTTTCTTTTTGCAATATAAATTCATGTTGCAAATGAAGCCCATATTGTAGATCAACATTTTGTTGATTAGCCCTCCACATATTAGGCAATGTTTGCACCGTAAACAAGGCAAAGGAACCCAGTTCTTACCTGACACTAGCCTCAGTACTTTAAGTCTTCCATTGAATATGGTGCAGATATTATATATTGTATCATCAAGTTTTTCTGATATGCTGGTTTCATAGAGAAATTGCTCATCATCACCTCGCTTGATCACAAGACGAACCATTGCACCTGTGGTCTGGTAAAAAGACAAAAGTGTGATTTTTGTAGTCTGATGATGCCCAAGCTTTACATGAAAATACTTTGAGAATTGCTTTATTGAAATTTGAATGTATAACTATTCATTGTTGTATTCTTCATTTGAAAAGCTGTTATATTTTGAGTAGTGAACTGTCTTTCAACAATGTTACTTATAGAACAATAAGCAATGCACTCGTTCACTCTTGCCTGGCATGAGCATGAATATCAGCATAGGAAGCAGGAACAGCTGGAGGCTCCAGCCCCATGAGTGCTGGACTCGGTTGCTAAATACTTTCAACACCTACTTTGGTAAACTGAACAGAGATAGATAATTATATAGTTTTTATGAACTTAGTTCAAATGTCTGGATGAAAGGACTGACAGGACAGAGCCAGAGCACACGCTAAGCAGAGCTTGTTTGTTACCTACATTATGCGTAGACCTCCACCCGTGCCATCAAATTTGAATTGCGCAATTCTGGGTAAGGGGAGAATTATCAACTGACTTCAATTGGCTGCGGAAGTTCCCACCAAGCGCAGACCACCACCGTCAAGTCTGAAATAGGTATTGAGGGCCTGAGCGACTCGAACCCGGTCTCTTACGACTGGGAGTCCAACGCTCGACCAACTGAGCAGCCTAGCTATGGAACAGCCTAGCTCAATGTTGATGTGGTCGCTAGCTCAAGGCTTTATAAACCTAGCTTGAGCTGTAAGAATCTTGGCTTGAGCTAGCTTATGGTCAGCCTGACAATGGCAATGAAACCATTTATCCACGGTAGCTACCTAGCCAAATTTACACGTTGGTTCGAACTTCGAGGTGTTTTGACTTTTCTTCAATTCGTGGGGTCCATTACTCTGATACACAGGGAAACGCACTGAACTCGGGAAACGCCAGTGACTGCCAAAGCGACTGCTCAAAAGCCTAATCAGCAGCTATGAAATGGAGTTGCCATAGCAACCGTCCGAAGTTTGATCAACTATTGACCGTCTACTTATCGTACTGATATTAATTTTTGATAGATATTGTTACCTCAAATCAAGTTTCTTTTGAAAGGTAAAAATCAACGTTAAAGAAGCAAAAATCTATCAATTTAAAGTGCAAATATACAACGATAAAACCTCATACCCTGTATTTGCCCTGTATAAAACAAAAGAACTGTCACAGCAGCGCCAGTATTTGGCTTCTGTCTTTTTGTTTATTTTTTCTTCGTTTCTCTGGTGACCCTGATGATGAGTTTCGAAAAAAAATTGTCTCAGTTTTTTACGAATGCTTACCTAATATGCATTTGTGGTAGATAACTATTCATTTTCCCTGCTGGAAGAAAGAAGTAGTTCGGGGATCGCTTTTATCTGTGGACTTTACTTAGGTAGGTATCTGTGGACAAGATCGGGTAGAAAAAAATGCGCCCGCTGGCCGCTGTCTTCTGTCGTGTTGTTTGTTGAGTTGAGTTTGTGTCGGTGTGTCGCAGGGTTACCGCTGCAAGGGAAATTTCCCTTTTCTATGGAAGTCAGCGAAGATCTAGGGATATATGGATTTCACACGAAATCTAGGGAAATGCCACAAACCCGAAAAATTGTTGTTTTTTCAACAATCGAAATCATTATTGTCATAAATTATTCTTCCGCATGCCATATCAAAAAATATGAGAACATTTTTCACAAAATTAACGTTTGATGCTCTAATTTTAAAGATATAAAGTGAATTACATATGCATGCATGTAGTTATATATAATTCTTGCTATTATTTCAAAACGAACTGCTGCTTTGTACCATTTCGGGTGCGGCTAATTTTTTACATCAAAGTTTTTGTTTTGGCGTGATTTTTACAATGTCTAGCGCATATCACTTCCTTTCCCGCGTCTCGAGTCGCAACACACCACAATTTGCGATATCAGTTGGGCAAACTAGGCGGCGGGAATCAAAATATGGAGGCATCAAAATATTGATTCTAGTGGGCGGAGCTTTGACCATATATGGGCATAGAATCAATATTTTGATTCAATTTGGGACATTCCCACCTTCAGACGACCCGTTACGGCGGAAATAACCCCCATGACGGCGAGATTTTTTGACAAGTCAAAACAAAAAACTTCCCCGCTTCAATTTTTCGCTGCATGGCTATCAGCCGTTTGTCGCGCGTACCTTTACGAATGGCACAGAGATTTCGCCGCCATAATTCAACAAAAACGTGCTGTTAAAACTTGCTCTGTTTATCATTAACGACGAGCCTTTGTAATTTTTTCATAATTTTGTCTAAAAGAAAATAAAAAATGAGTTATTTAGTTGTATAATTCATTTATAAGAAATATTCTTTTACTTTGCATCTAGCCACGATTTCCGGTTCCCGCCATTTCGCGCCGGCGTCGTGGGTGTGTGGATGCAACGTAGTGCTCCCGGTTTTATTTTGTTTAAGCGACCTTTTCTGAAGTGTAAGTAACAATGGATCATATTTTAAGATACTTTGAAGTGTGTTTTTCAATTTCAGGCATGTGATCTTAACGTTTCTTACCGAAAACTCGTTTTAAGAGATGGTTTTAGGAACATGGCGCGGTAGCGACGTCAGCGGCGCGGGACGCCTTCGCACTCTTCTATTGTCTTTTTAAGCTATATTTTTTTGAAAATGATGTCTTAGGTGTAGTATTTCAGTGAAATATGATGTCCTTTAAAAGTTACGGTATAAATTAGTTACAAGAAGCCTAATGTTTTGTCTCACATGATAGAATTGTTGGGTGGACTCATGAAATGGGGGCAGTGCATGTCCAGTATTTTACATAATTTGGATGTTTTAGCCTCTGCTTGTGTCTCACTCATCCAATTGTTGCTACAACTTTAATTTGTAGCATTTAAATTTTTAATGGCAACTAGGTTATTGACTTGTTCCGAGTTAAGATTGAAAGGTCGTAGTGCATGTTCGTGTTTGCCTTATCTAAATAGTAGGTATGTATGCTTGGCTTGTAATTGCTTTGCCCATTTTTGCTACATATTTAATGATGCTTACTTTAAGTGTAACAAAAGCAAGTTGCTGAATGGTGTAAGCCATATTTACATTATGCGTGATCTTCAAGAAAATTGTGTCTAATGTACGGCTGTCCAGGGAATGCTGGATAGTTAATTTTCAGGATTGTCCATGCCAAAGTTAATTTTAGAGGCCAGTTTTATCATCACAAATAGCTGCCTGCTAGAATTTTTTTGCCTAAAGACTGCTTCACATATGGAGCGTTAACATGATGGGCACGTAAACGGATAGGGCTGTACCGTTCATGCTCTGTATGTGAAGTAACTTTAAGACAAAAAAAAATCCAGCAGCCACCTATTTTTCTGTTGGTACAACTGGCCTCAGGGCTCAGATCTACTTTTTTGGCAGAATTTATATAACTGCATGAGATGACAGTTGTTGGCGCACCTGGTGGCGTTCAGTGGAAATTTAAGTGACATTAAGTATTTAATTTTTTATTGAATACATTCTAAAATTAATAGTTGCTGAACAAGGGGAATAATAACACATATAGTTTCCTAATTTATTGTCCACAAAAGTCCTAATTATTGTGTTCTGTTGTTTGCTGCAGGTCAACCAAGGATCAAACACTGGTCGTTGCGGGGATCGGCTTCAGAGGGCCAAGGAATGTCTTGAATCGCTGTTCAGTCGACAGGCAACTGTATGACAACGCCATCCCTGTCAACCAGAGCGTCGACCGAAGTAGGGTGGCGTTGCGCGGACCTGGCCGCACCCGACCAACCGGCGGAGTACCTGACTCGGGCTGGGCGGAGACTACCTACATCACGACCTTTTGAACTTTGATCTCGTGGCGAGAAACAATATGACTTAAGGAAGTGTGTATGTGGCTGGCGGGGCCGAGGGTGAAATGCGCCACGTGTTTATCCTGCCGGATGACGACAGTGTCACCAACCTGTCAAAGAACGAGCTGGTGCAGCGCGTGATGACTGCTATCTCGTCCCTAGAACCGGAGTAGAAAAACGTGCGCATAGCCCAGATGAAGCGAACCAAAACACAGACAGGACTGATAGCGTTTCGGTCGAGAATGTTCTGAAGATGCTGATCAGTAGACCAATTGGTGACCGTTTTCGGTGGTAATATGGGATCTTGGGGACTGGGGTGTTCCAAAGCGACCTGCTTTGGGTGTGGACATAAGTGGCTCAACCTGACAGGATTGATGTTTTAGGTAGCCGTGCTAATCATAAACCCTATATTGAGTGTATCTGTACAAATTTTGTTTATATTTATTTCATGTATTTGATTCGAAACCGAAAATTGCTCTTTGTAATTAGGCAACATCGAGACGTTGAGGTCATTCTCCAGACGTTTATTTGTTTTTTTCTTACCTGTCCACGGTATGTCTTATTGGTTAGGTCTCAGTTTCAAATATTATTAACTGCATGTTTTGCAAATACGTAGCTATATTGAATTAGAGACGTGTCCTAAAAGTGAGTATTGCTTTGCATGGGGTGTGAGCGTCAACGACAAGGCTTTGTGATGGTAAATGTGTGGCAATTGCAGGGATCGTTGTGAAATGTGTTATGAATATCATCGTATTATTTGCGAATGCAAATACATCCGTGTATCATATTTTCATTCAAATTGTGCAATTTGTGCAACGGGCTTGAGGATATTGTTCGGCGAAATATCTCCTACTGTACTCCACAGAAATGGGACGGGATACAGATGCGTAGAAACACATTCATGAACACGTGAAAGACGATAAGTTAACTTTTTTTTTACTCAAAATCAATGCTACAAAGCAGGGATGTGGAGCCGTGAAAATGTCAGACGGCTTCGGCTCCGGAGGAAAAAATCGGCTCCAGCTCCTGCTCCGGCTCCGAGTAAAATGGTCGGGCTTCGGTTCCGGCTCCGACTCGGTACAACCCCTATACAAAGGTCAGCACGGCTCCCTTAACGCATTCCCTCGAAGGCTTGCAGCTTTGAGCAGGGAGCCAGGGTGAGTGCTGAAAATCCCTGGTCTACCGTGGGAATAAGGTCAAGAAAAAAATTACACGATCCTGTGCTGATAATATCTTCATGAATTTATTGAATTTGCATTATTTGCACACAAGAAACATCTCGTAAATCAATTTGAAGGGTGAAGTACGTCTGCAGAAAGTATGTTCGCAGAATCAATATATTGATAAACCAGCTGATTTCAGAATCAAAATAATGATTAGCCAGCTGTTTGCGGAATCAAAATATTGATTCTCGCCGGGATTAGCCGCCGTGATGAATCAATATCTTGATTATTTTCAAGACGCTTTCCTAAACTAACCAAAGAGGTTAGAGCTATTGTTTCGTGACTGGCGGGTAGCTTCAACGTTGCTCTTCATTTTGTGAAGAAACTATTTTGAAATTGTAGCCGGTTGCTGAATAATTGACGTTTCTGTGATGGTCTGCACGTATGCCCATATATGGTCAAAGCTCCGCCCACTAGAATCAATATTTTGATGCCTCCATATTTTGATTCCCGCCGCCTAGTTTGCCCAACTGATATACCACTCAATTATATTATACCACGTACAATAATTTGCGTGTGACCAAAAAGGAACGAGTCTGTGTCCGCTAGGGACACGGTTCAATATCTACACACCGATTACCTATACCATAGTGATGCGGAGCATTTCAGCACCATATGAGCGAAGTTTCAATTTTTCTGGCCCATTGTCCTTCCTTCCACGGTCGTTTCTCTAAACTCCTGCAGTGCCCCGTGTCATGTGCTCTTGCATGTCCTCAATCTCTTCAAAAAGTGATCCCTTGAGGACGCCCTTGGTGTTCGGGGATAGCCAGAAGTCACATAGTGTTCAATCTGGCGAGGACGGGTGATGTTTCACTCTGGGTTCCACTGTGGGCTGCCCTCCGGCTGCTCAAAGACTACCGTGTCACTTCCACACAGCGAGCCTTTTGATCATTGGAGAACACTGGGCACCCCCTTCACGCGAATCCTTCCTCGTGCCCAAATCCACCGTCAGGATGGTACTCACCGACTCTGTTCCCATTCATAGCCCCTCAGCCAGCATCCTTACTGTCCATCTGCGATCGCTGTGCGTCAGGCTCGTGGATGTTTTCGACCCCCACCGGACACGATTTGGTAGCCGGGGTCTGTGACGTCAGCCGGGCGTGAAGTTTTCCCTTCACCATAGGCTTCACACACAAACCGGCCGAAGTTCATGCCAGGATAGCCCGGCTTGAAAGTGCAAAAATGATTAAATTTTGCCCTCAATAGATTCATTGCTTCATTTTATAACTAAAAACGTCCGTTATTAGGACTCAATGAAGGTAAAAAGTACTCAAAATCGAAGTTCAAGAAGATGCTGTCCGAGCACAATCTGGTAACATCACGTGACCTCTTTTAAGCAGAATGTATATAATTCAAGGATGTTATTACACGATTGCTGCCTAAAACATCATAAATAATACGCTTGTAACATTTATTGCTTCTGTTTAAGTCATAACATTGCAAAACGCAAAGTTTATCATGGAAGTCACGTGACCAAAGGTATAGCAGGGGTTGGGACAAGCACTCAAAGGATTTCAAGTTTTTTAATTAAATTATATAAGTTTCATGATGAAATTGAAAGAATGTATTTTTTCCTAATGAAATACAAATTTCCGTATGTAAAATATTTTCCTTATGGGCGAAATTCTCCATATAAGAAATGTCAGTGACGTCACCAGGGCTTTACTGGGCTTTACTCAAAACATCGGACCTACCTGTTTCTTATAGGTATCTTGGATGTTTTCTTCATTTCTGGATTGTATTGTAATCCTCCACATCATCTCGTTCACTCTCAAACCTTTTGTGGGCTCTCTCTATCGTCTGGAGGTTTCGAAAGATGCTCTCCAGAGATGGCGCTAGTAAATTTGGCTGACATGACGTCATGCTAAAAAGTGATGGATTTTGTGAGAGCAAATGTAATAAAAGTTGAAAATTTTGTACTTTTGCTTAATTAAGAAAAAATAAATATACAATTGTTCAAAACAGCGTTTTCCTCATTCATCCTTCATTGTTTTAAGAGGAATATAGACAATTTAAATATTTTTTCTTGACCGCAATTCGCACACGCACTAAATTAAAAGCTGGAGTTTTGTGCGTTCGTAAATTGTGATTTGAGAAAATAAATTGACAATTATCTTTTGCACTTTTGCTTTACAATCATTTTTCAATGCAGATGAATGCATAAATTATTCAAAAATAGGCATATCTTTGAAATATTATGATTTTCCACAAGCAAATTTTCCCAAAAACTTGAACTACTTACAACTGACGAACGCATCCAATAATCTGGATGTCTTAGGATGAGTTCGTCATTTTTTCCCAAGGAAATACGATACAGTTCAAGCTATTTTACCGATTTATTAGGGTACTTTTGCCAATGAATTAATAAATAAATGACAACAATTAATCTCATTATCAACCATACTCGGAAGCATTTTTTTCGCATAAGCGCGAACACATCCGCGCTTTCATGAAAAGTCACGCCTGTAGATGTCAGGACTGCTGCTTTATGTTTCGCAAGGTGGCGCAGCGCGCAGGGTGCCGACTACCGAGGCTGAGGTCTCCAGACTCTCCACCACGATTTAACTTGGAAATGGCCGATGGGGAAGGTCTCACCCAAAAACGGACGCCCTTTTACACAGCTGCATAAAGAGAATGAATTATTGGCATAGCTGACCACACGTCCCCTCCCCCTCTCCGCCCCAGCTCAATAGGAAATATCGCCTATTTTCCTTAGTCAGTTATATTCTGACTAATTTCTCACTCTTCCCAGTAAACCTTAACATGCATGATGCAGATGTCCACTGCGTAAGTCGTGTGCTTCCGTATGTGTGCCAACTATATAGTGTTGCCTACACTCTACAGTACAGCCTACTGCTTCCCCATTGTCGTTATAATTGGTGATTCTCAGGTCAAAAGTTACACAGTGGTCTCAGAGAACAATCGTTTCAACAAATTAACGATTCAAACCATTGCATTCTACTTATATTCCGGTCAGTTCTGCTACTAAACGATTCCGGCAAAACACTCTTTAGGTTATGTATTAGCGAACCACCACACAAAATTCGCCCAATCAATGGTCAGTTATTACTGCTGGGCTGAACCGTCATACGCTATATAGCCTATTGCAGTCAATATTTTCAGAACGATACTGACTGACGAAACACAACGTATTCGCGGATTCGCACATACGTTGGCACCCAGGTGGCCTGTCAGCAGCCGCACAAATCCGCACAGCGCAGCCGGGATTTGACATTGAGATGGTACACCGTAAAGCATGCCTTTCCACACAGGCACAAGCACAGGGACACAAATTCTCAAAATCCAAACTTATTCCAATACTGGTCAATTGCGAATAGGCATAAAGTTTTGAGGTTTTCTCATGTTCATTCTTCTTTCACTAACACACGCGGCAGACTGCAGCAGCTGCAGAACATCTCACAGAGCTGCGCTGGATGCAGTCATGAGCTGGGACACGGTTTGTGACCAATGACCGATCGGGGGTGCCAGCCTCCTCCCGGCACGCGATGCACTGGCCGCCGCGCAGTCGATGTCGGGGCACCGCCGGCATTCGCCGACAGGGTTCCATCCGATTCGGTGTATTGGTGGCAGCCCGAACAGTGACCCACGCGAAGCTGGCGGACGTCGATGGCCGATGAGCGATGCCCTTCCGCGACCGGCGGTGGCAGTCGGTCCCACATCAAGAACAGATACCAGTCATGCGGTCAGTCGGCGACGGCGCTGTCGCGAGCCGATCTGATGGTCGCGCGGTGGGCGTCGCCGACGTCCACCGGGACCGTCGACTGGGGGAGCGCGGCCGCCTCTTGGCCGCCGCCTCTGGTCGGCGAGCTCGTTGCGCTGTGGGACGGCATCCACTGCAAGTCGTTCACTGTGAAGCGGTCGTTTGACCGGACCTGGCAGGCGGGGAAAGGGGGCCTCAGATGAAGTAAAACCATCCCTCAGGCCAGCTTGAACTGGCTCTCCACCTCACCATGTTAGATAAGCGGACACCCTCGTGATCATCGCAGCGATGATTGCCAATTGGTGTGTCATTATGGGAGAGGATGCCAGCCTCCTTTGCAAGATAGTCTGCCTTTAATATAGTGCAGCCCGACCCATTGCCTGTGGCGCAGACTGGGCTTGATAATGCAGTGCAGGACACACCAAACGTAAGCGGCCATCTGTACCCCCTGTGCAGTAGGGCTGACTCAAGAGCCCAGAGTTGCCCTCCCCCCACCATTCTGTGCACGTGATAACTGGATGGGACATGCCATGGTCAGCATCTGTTCAAAAGCTGCCCTAAGCATGTAAAGCTCCACTGGCATGCTCAAGCATGGTCACAGTCAGTTCTCACTTCTCAGTTGAACCTCCAATGGAAACCTATCACAAAGTAGAGATCAGGGCGCCTCTCACACTGCAGCACACTCAACGACTGAGGCACCATCTCATTCTCATCACTTGCAGGTGGTTCTTGCCAGGAGCAATGCCAGCCATGCACATCAGGTGATAACAGCAGTGTACAACTGCAATCTACAAGCATCCATGTTCTTTCTGGTTTTCTCCTGTTGAGATCCACTGCCATGCATGAACTTGATGGGCTTTTGTTGAGCTCCTCCCATGTGCAGACAGGTTTCTGCTGAAACAAAGCAAAGCAAATGTGATTAATAATGGCCCTGTTTCACCATCCAGACACTGTGTGCACTGGTAGCTACGGCATACCATAGCATCACTCAAATGACGTTGCATGTGATCTCTTAGTTTATGATCAATCGCGTTTGGAACAGAGTGAGAGGTTCTGAAAAACCGTACCAAGAACAGAGGTTTGAGTTCAAATACTGCTAGCATGCTGCTGGTGCTGGTACCGCAGCGTGCTAGCGTTCTGGGATGCTGTCATAGCTTAGCGTCACAGTGAAGTTTGTTGACACTGCCATGGAAACCCAATGCTCTGACACACGCAGCGCACTGCAGTGCTGAGCACTGCAGTGCGTGCTCTGCCGTGAAACACCACCCATGAACGTTGGTTGCATGACCAGGATGGAGCAGTGTGGCAGACAGTGATTTTAATTTTAATTGCACTTCCTAGAGATTAAAATGTTGTTGGTGAAATTGCTATTCATTATTCCTATAACCATTGTCTAAATTTCACATTTCAAGACAGCATCAGCATTGACATGTTATATAAAATAAGGTTTAGACTTCAGGTGGTCCCGGGTTCAGCTTAAGTAAAACAAGGGCAAAAAATTGTCAAAAAAATATTTAAAAAAAATACCTGCCTTCATCAACACCTCATCTAATCTAACCTCATCCTCATCTAACAAGGCCCTAAAAGCAAAAACCGTTTGAATAACAATGTAATATTTTGCAACCGCTGCACCATTACTGTCACGTACGCTATCCCTAGATTGGTTGCTGGTAAGTAGTGGTTGTCGTCATCAACTCGTCATGCAGCAGCTGATTGGGATGGGCGGGGCCTATTTTTATCCAGGCGATAGAGAGAGCCGCGTTCGTGCCACTCGAACACTCGTGCAGGAGACATTGCTTCGTCTCCATACACATAATTTGACATCGGAAGTGTTTCTGTAGCAGTTTTCCCCAGTTTCACTGAGAACTTGATGTTTGTCCCGTCTGTTCAGAACCCATATTGTGACATGGGGTATTGCAGGGGTTTAGAGAAACGACCGTGGAAAGAAGGACAATGGGCCAGAAAAATTGAAACTTCGCTCATATGGTGCTGAAATGCTCCGCATCACTATGGTATAGGTAATCGGTGTGTGCTGAACCGTGTCCTCAGCGGACACAGTCTCGTTTCTTTTTGGTCACACCTCGTATGCCAGCAATTTCATTAGAATCTCTTACGTTAACGTCACAGAATGTAGTAAATTGCTGTTTTGGGAAGCAGCGACTATAACACGAATGGTTAGAATGAGGATCAAGTACAGTACGTCAAATTCCATGAAAATAACCGTATCTAGGGAAATGATTTTTAAAATAGGGAAATTTTCGTGAGAATCTGGGGAAACCGGCGAGACGCCAGCGGTAACGCTGGTGTGTCGGTGTCGTGTCGGTGGGGAGACTGAACTCGTCGGCGCGGTGGGTCACGCTGGGTCGATTATCTGCTCGGGACTGCGACACGGCGCTGGCAGAGTGCCGGTGCCAGCCGACGCCACCGTGCCGTCGTCTTTGGCTGACTGGAGGGCCAGCTGGTCGCGGCGGCGGCCGGCAGTGCGCGTTACGGTGGGTGCCGGGTGGTCGCCAGATGGCTGGTGTACGGCAGCGAAGCTGCGCAACAGCGACTCCATATTGTGCAATATTCGGCGATCGAGGATAGGATTATGCTGGGGAAGGTTATTTGGTATTTAGTAGAATCCTACATTGAGCGTAATAACGAAGTGTGTTTGCACTTCAACTTGTGTTTATCAACAGATAACACCAGTGTGCAAACGCGGCAGTGTACACAGTGTGGTAAGGTGGCGGCCACGCGGGCGTCAGTGAGTCAATTGAGTTTGTTCCTGCCCACAGGGGATCTAACGGCGCTCCCACAGTCCGCTGCAGACCGCAGCGCCTCACGATGCGGCTGCTGCTGCTCTGCTGTGCGCTGGCGGCCGCGGGCGCCGAGCCGTCCGTGTGGACGTGGCGCTGTGAGTCGGGGAGCTGCGTGCGCCGCCCAGCCGCCGGTGTCACCGACGGCATGCAGTTCGGCACGTGCAAGTTGACCTGCGGCGAGCTGTCGGTGGTGTGGCCGCGTCCCACCGGGCCGGCCGCGTTCGGCTCCGAGACGGTGCCGTTCCTTATCGACAACATCCAGTTCCAGCTGGTGGCGCCCGACCCGGTGAAGCCGATGCTGCAGACTGCCACTGAGATATTCCTGGACAGCCTGCGGGCGCTGCAGCCGTCGGGCCTGGGCGGCCGGCGGGCCGGCTGCCGGCCGGACGGCGCCTGTGAGCCGGCCGTGGCCGAGCAGGCCGTGAAGGTGACTGTGGCCGTGGAGTCGGCCGGCACCGCGCTGACGCTGGAGACGAGCGAGTACCACCAGCTGCTGGTCAACCACACGGCCGGCGGCGAGGTCAGCGTCCTGCTGTACGCCACCACCTTCTTCGGCGCGCGCCACGGACTGGAGACGGTGTCGCAGCTCATCGAGTACGACGACGAGAACGCCTGTCTGCAGGTAAGTGGCGCCTGATCGAGGATGGAATGCCCCATCCTGGACACGGACAGTCCTGCACTGCTGATTGTTCTTACTTGTTAATGTACCATTACCCGTGGGTCATTACTCTGTAGCGATAGTACGCATGCGATAATGGTATGTCTGAGTATCTATAGTTACATTCGAGCATGTGCATATGTAATCCATCAGTCTGATATTCTAGTGACGCTGTGAAGTATAATCTATCGTCAGTCCCGGTTGTACTGTGTAGTGCGCCATTCTCCGACCACCTGACACTGACTGTCGCTGTCTGTCTGTCTGTCTGTCTGTCTGTCCCCAGATCCTGGGCTCGGCGACGCTCAGTGACGCGCCGGTATACCCGATCCGGGCCCTGACCATCGACACATCGCGCAGCTTCATCCCTCTATCTGCCCTGCGGCGCACCATCGACGCCATGGCCATGAACAAGCTGAACACGCTCCACTGGCACGTGACGGACACGCACAGTTTCCCGATCGAGGTGGTCAGCGAGCCGCGTCTGGTGCAGTACGGCGCCTACTCGCCGGAGAAGGTGTACTCAGCCCGGGAGGTGGCCGAGCTGGTCCGGTACGGCCGGCAGCGCGGCGTCCGACTGCTGCCCGAGCTGGACGCGCCGGCCCACGTCGGCTACGGCTGGCAGTGGGGCGAGGACGCCGGACTCGGCAGGCTGGCCGTCTGCGTCGGAGAGGTCAGTCGGCAGTGCATGAATGGGCTACCTGCTGCTAGTTGTCTAAGCCGCGAAGGGACAGGTTCTGCTTCATGAATTTGGCATTACACTGATCTAAGATTTTCAACTTCTTTATTTTTCGACCACATGAACACAAGGAATTACAAAACTCTGATACGCACGCTAATTAAAGCAGTAGTTAGAGCAGTAGTTGACATCATTGTAACACGACGTTTAACATTGATGCCATTTTATGCTACTAGCCCCCTGAGCCCCTGTTTGAATGCCATTGGACATTGGTGCTGTGTCACGGACCGTGTGGTTGGCCTCCGTCCCCAGGAGCCGTGGCAGTCGTACTGCGTGGAGCCGCCCTGTGGCCAGATGAACATTGTCAACGAGAACATGTACACCGTGCTGGGGAAGATCTACAAGGACTTCAACGCCCTCTTCCAGCCGGATATCTTCCACATGGGAGGCGACGAGGTAGGAGTCGAGGTCCAGGGGGCTATAGGGTGCTCCGGCCGCCGTGTCCCTCCCGGGTCCCCGCGTGAGTCCCATCTTGTTCGCTCTGCTCGCCGCTGGCGACTCGTTACGTACGTTGCTTTTGATTTTATTGACTAGGAAGCCAACAGGATTACAGAGCTTGAGCTAATTCTCTATCACGCATCGCCAGATCAACTTCAACTGCTGGAAGTCCTCCCCCGAGATCGCTGAGCACGTGAAGGACCGCGGCGGCGACCCGTCTGACGACTCGGAGTACATGCGGCTGTGGGCTCAGTACCAGGTCCGCGCCGCCGGCCTCTGGAGGAACGTGACTGGCCGGAGCACGCCGCTGTTACTGTGGACCAGCGACCTCACCAAACAGGAGGCGGTCCGCCCCTCGGCGCTGAAACCGTCGCAGTATATTATCCAGGTGAGAGAGCAGCGGACTTGTGATGTTCCTAACGCACGTATGAATCGCTGCGTACGTGTGATATGGCTAGGGGTCTTCTTAGGCTCTGGTTTCTTAACTTCACGCCCCCCCCCCCCCCCCTGTCGGCAGGTGTGGACCACCGGCACCGACCAGCAGATCGGGGACCTCCTCCGTCAGGGCTTCCCGCTGCTGCTCTCCAACTACGACGCCTGGTACCTGGACTGCGGCTTCTCGGCCTGGGTCGGCGTCGGAAACAACTGGTGTTCGCCCTACAAGAGCTGGCAGACCGTGTACGACAACAGCCCGCGCGCCATCGCCCGGAGTTTCGAGCCGGCCGGCGCCGACTACGCGTCCCTGGTGCGGGGCGGCTCGGCGGCACTGTGGTCGGAGCAGTCGGACGCCCAGACGCTGGACAGCCGGCTGTGGCCGCGCGGTGCCGCGCTGGCCGAGCGGCTCTGGGCGGAGCCGGACACGGACTCGGCGGCGGCACTCACCCGGCTGGTGCACCACCGCGAGCGGATGGTGCAGCGCGGCATCGGCGCCGAGCCGCTGCAGCCCGAGTACTGCCACCTCAACGACGGCGTGTGCACTACCTAGCGGTGGGCGGCGCGGGGCGGGCCGGGGCGACGGGCACCGCCGCTCGGCTGCTGCAGGTCGCCGCCCTGCCGCTGCTGCTGCCGCTGCTATTGCTGCTCGTAGTGCGTTCGGCTTAACGTGTGCGTCCGATAGCGCCGTCGTCTCTTCAGCTACAGAACCAGGATCGTCTCTGGCTGGAGAAGCTCGGGCATTATGAAACATAGATGAACTTTGCATTGGTTGTGGAGCGAACCCAAAAGAGGAGGTACGGTGTAATTGTCGCACAGACTGGACAGTGGACACCGCTTTCAACTCTACGTTTGGAACATTTGTGATCAAGATACAGTTACGAGTATATCATCAAAAAGACACACGGCAATAGTACAGCTATTTCCAGAGTATATGGCAGCAGGATACTCGCGCAAGTAAGTGCTATAATGGGGTTTCTGGGACGCAAGAAGCCAGAATGTGTTACCGGTTAGCCTAACGGAAGATGTAAGACCGATTTATTTATCGTTGTAGCCTTTTTAGTGCTGTGGATCGATGATCCTACAAGTGTGAGAACGCTTTTGACCTAGTCTTAACCGTAAGTGATGTCGAATGTCAGGCGTGGGATATTGCTGATTGGTCGCAAAGCATAAGGAGGCGGAAACTAGTATGTGATTGTTGCGGTAACGGTTAGTCGACGATTCGATGTTAATCGATGCTCCGTTCTGAATAATAGATGAGCTGATTTTGACAGATCGCCTCGGGATATGCATTAGGCACAGACGCTGGGATAATGGCGTGGACACTCGATGCCGCATGACCTATCATCTGACAGCACCGCAGTTCCCTCGGCGGCTGTCCGTGCGAGCGCTGCGGCGCCTGAGTCTGCAGACTCCCTGCCTCCAGCTGGCCGCGCCCTACCCGCCGCGCCGGTGGCTATTTCAGGTAGCTCCGTATTGGAAGGGAGGCCCCTGCCGAAGGGGGAGAGCCACTATCGGCGCGCTCGGTCGGTAACGATCTGGGCCCCGCTCACTAGGAGCTGCCTTATTGCCGGCGCGCCACATCAATGTACGATCAATCTCAGCGGAGACGCCCTTCATAAAGCGGTGTCTACCAGCTATGGGAACTTCGGCGGAATTGGATGAGCAGTAGCCAGAGTGGGGTATGAACATCGGCCACAGGTCAGGTGTAAACCGTTTCATTTTCTAGGCAATTCCCTGTTCATATATTGGGGGTGACGCGCGATATATTTGTCAAAAAGGTCGTTTATGAAGAAACACTAGGAAGTATCCATACTAGATCGCCACGAGGAGAGGCGCCTGTTTTTTATCCTATTCAGTCACCGTGCTTTTCATATCGCTTCAAAAGTGGCGACTTATGCATTCTTTGCATTCTGAATATTGACAGAGATACTTTAGACACTTATGATTTATACCCCAATATGAAAATGGATCCTATCAGCAAATTGCTTAGTGTCGCTACAATATTTCTCTTGGCATCCCTTGAGTTTCAGGTAATGTGCATCCAGTCAGTCGTATTATCCGAGAGACAGGCAGGGAACCAGACAGAGCCAGTACCAACAAACGAAACAAATAGGCCACACAATACTACGGAAGCCAAAGAAACACAGAACTCCACCAAAAACGGGCACGAATCGCCAGCGAAGCTACTCACGAAGCCAGGATATGACATTCGCCGGCCGCCGCAAGACCCCATCTCTGGGAGGCCAGTGCTCGTGCACATGATGGCCTTTGCCGACTTCATCGAGACGGTCAACGAGCAAGCCGGAGAAATGGTGGTGGCCTTCTTTTTCCGGGCCGAGTGGAACGACAGCAGGGTTCGGGATGTGTCCGAGATCCTGCATGACAAGCCTGGCTATCGGAAAGACATGCTGCCTATGTCCGGTAGGCTCAAAGAGACCCTGTGGGTGCCCGACCTTTACATGCCGATGGCCAGGCGAGTTGTCATCCCAACCATTCACGAGCCGGCAGAGAGCGTGACAGTCATGAAACATGGAAGCGTTGCGTACTCAGCCTTCTTCGTTATTGCTCTCAAGTGCGAGATGGCCTACGTCGACTATCCAATGGACGTCCAGTCTTGCTTTTTGGACGTAATGAGCTACAAATATTCCCTGTCAGAGATGGAGCTCAAGTGGCACCCCGACAGCCTCCAGGGACATACGGAGATCGTCACCAAACATTTCCGCGTGACCATTTCCATCCCGAGGGTGAACAGCTCCTACATAATTGAGAATGCCGACGGCAGCAAACGGTACGTCATCCGGCTGCAGATTTTCATGAAGCGCCACCTGGCGTTCCACCTGGTTCAGACCTACCTGCCGTCGGCCATGCTGGTGCTGATCGGCTGGCTGTCGCTGCTGGTGCCGCTCGACTTTGCCTACGGCCGAATGGTGCTCTCGGTCACCACGCTGCTGGTGCTGGTGTCCATCTTCGTCACCAACAGCCAGATGGCTCCTGGCGTGAACGAGGTGAGCCAGGGTGCTTCTATGCTGGTATGTATGCTGGTATGTATGCTGGTCTGTATGCTGCGGTATGCGTGATATCGTTGAAATTTGACCTCATCACATCCGGTGGAGGAAGTCATAAGTTTAAGTTTGAGTGTTGTGCCCTTATTTTGTATGGTTGTCGAACTACATATTTTGGTTTTCCAGGTGAAGGCGCTCGACATCTGGCTGTTCATGTGCATCATATTCGTGTTCTCTGCCATCGTGGACTGCATCGCCGACCTGCGCTTCCTCTCGATGGTGGAGAAGGAGTCGCAGATCGCCGGCGAGGAGCGTCCCGAGGCCGAGCTGGCGCCGGTGGTGGACGAGCGTGCCTCGTCCGCCAGCCCGGTGGGCCAGCGCCAGTCGCTGGCCGGCGGCGGGTCCAGTGCATACATCCGCTTCCACGGCAGCAACACGCCGTTCCAGGTGAGAATCCTATGGAACGCTGAAACGTATGTAACGTCTGGGACATCTGGAATTCGCCTCCGGGACTTGTAATTTCAGGCTGTGGCTTAGCGATTACGTGCTTGCGGATAGCAAATGGTCACTGATCAGTCTGTCACAAATAGTTGAAAGACATCAGTTCATATGCGCCTGTTCAAGGCTCGAGACGACATGTGTTACTGGCGCTTCAGCTAGCTTTTTAGTGAACTTGGTAATCAAAGGGTTACCTACGTGACCAATGACCATAATATGTACGTTGTTACTGAGACAGTCAGGTGACAGCTGGTACGTGTTTACTGCCGCAGGCGGACAAGGAGGTCCTCATCGCTACGCCAGCGGTGCTGAAGTGGCTGCGAATGGCAGTGTTTCTGGAGAGAAGCATGACGATCGTTTACCCCACGCTGTTCATCCTACTGGTGGCCATCTACTGGTCAATCTTTTTAACGTCCTACAACTCACAGACAGCCGAATCGCGGACGGCGGACCAGTGGTGACTGGCGACATTTCGTGCGGTGAGTGGTGAAAACAGTTACATACCTGAGTCTTCGAACTCAATTCACACAAATCTCGCAACTGGGTGTATTTCCACTAGAAATGTTCCACCTGTATTGAGTTCATCCAGCAGTGAGCAGTTGTAGCAATGGGTGCGGCTTCGACGTTGTTTGATGCTAGTGATCGATTTTCACACTCGGCTTTGTTCGTTGCCGAGCGATGCAGGTGCCCCTTGTGTGATTGTTATTTGTATGTGGCCGCAGTTGATCAATGCGAATAGATGTATTGCTGCGAATAACATACAAGGTGCATTTAATGTCGCTTTCTGGATTTCCCAAGAATTTTCAGTTCAACGGCTTAAACGATGAATGTTTTCATTTTTATGCGAGGTCGTATGTGAATACATGATAACCCAGAAGTTGAGCCAAGTGGTACGGTGTCTGTAAGAATGCATGATGGGTGCGTGTCGATCAATTCTTTCTAACAACATAGTTATTAAGTTAACTTAGAAGCTGTTTCATTTATTGGATGTAGTGGAATGATACATGTTCGCGGGACTTGTGTGAGTTTGTGCATAATCTAACTATGTGCCTTCTAGCACTTACATGTAACTATGAAGCACTTATGACGGGCCCAGCGCTGGGCGAGATCAGTGATGAAGACTACGGGAATCGGGCGACCGCCGACCTCCGACTGGACGGATGAGATCACTGGGTTGGCCCCTGACGGCCGGGCTCACTCGCTCTTCTGCTGCTGGCGGGCGGCGCTGGCGGCGTGGAACTTGCTGACCTGGTGCTGGGCCAGCCGGCGGGCGGCCGCGTACCCGAGCACCAGCTCGGCAGTGACGAACACGGCCTGCGGCCAGAGCACGGCCAGCTCGGGCGCCAGCTGCAGCGCGCCCCGGTTCAGCAGCAGCAGGCCGTGCAGCGGACACGCCAGCAGCAGCGTGATCAGCCAGAAGCCGGCCAGGTCGGGCACGTCCTCACGTAGACTGCCCATGTAGCCGACGTAGAGCCGCGCGGCCTCCATCAGTAGTGCGCCCACCACCACCGTCACGTAGATGTACCGGTTCAGAAAGTCCATCCGATCCAGCTTGGCGTGGAACACGACTGCTAGCACCGCTGACCAGCACGGCAGGTACAGGATGTTGAAGTAGAGGCACATTTGGAGGGGCAGGCTGGCCACCAGCTCAGCGCCCAGAGCGGGCCGCGGTGGCCGGCCGCTGGCCACAGGCTCCAGACCAATGCCCGGGAACATGGCCTCAGTCAGGATGTTGACGCTCCAGCGCCTGCTGCTGTGACTCATCGTAACTGGCCTCTGTTAACCAAAAGTAGGGGCAGGTCAACAAAATGCTTCAGTGATCACTGTGTAACATGTCTACAGGGTAGTGCCTGGGCCCTGGTACATGCTTCATTTTCGTAACAGCATGTTTTGTGACAACAAATAAGATTAAGCATTTAAGTTTGAACAAATCCTTTTGATTTAATTGCCATTCTGGACAGTGGCGGATCCAGGGGAGGGCAAATAGGGAAATTGCCCCTCCCAAATGGCATAATTAACATTACGCCTATGGACAGTCTGCATGGAAAGAACCGATAAATGGTTATGGTTTGACAGGTTTGCCCCTCCGAAAACTCTGAGCTGGATCTGCCAGTGATTTTGGAGGGCGTCTGGAGAATATATTTAGGGTCACATTTCTGGTTATAAGATGTTGTGACACTAATCAGATTGAATTAACTACAAGAAAATGTAAGCTACTTCAGCCTCTCCGACCATGGCACGGGTTCGTGTGCTCTGAGGGAGTCGTTTTTGCATTGATTTTTCTAGTGTTTCAAGGTAAGATATTGCAGGAAACTTGGTGTAAATGTGAAGATTAAGTGTTTTATAACATGTTGTGACACCAATCGGATTGAATTAACTACAATGAAAACGCTAGGTTACTTCGGCCTCTCCGACCTAAATTTAGCCAACATCTCATCTCTGATCTCTCGCCCATGAAGGGCGAGAGATGTTGGGCATTGCAAGCCCTTGTGTCAATTTTTAAGTGTCAATAGTAGGTATACCATATACCCTGGGTATACCACTGAATTTTGACTTGTTTGGCTAGTCCAAGGCTATATATAAAAGGCACATTGGCATAGCACACGGGACACAGGAGTCAGGAACCACACAACCTTGCACGCACAGAACCTTTGAACCTAAGTCATCGCGGAAAAGAGCAGGGCAAGAACAGTGAGCTGCGAGAAAAAATAAAATTGCCCCACACAAATGCATACATTATTTACGCCGTGCATCACAATGCAATGCAAATGAAAGGAAAAGGAATCTTACACTATTTTGTATTTGCTGCGCTGTTGATGCCCTAGTGTGTTGCTTCCATATCATCAAAGTGGTGTTAAACAAAATAGCAGATTTTTTTTGTAATTTACAAGTTAACGAACTTGAAATATGTAGGTCAAATTTCATCTTCAAAATTTCTGCAAAGATAATGAAAATTTCGAATGGTTTTGTCACAAAAAATGCCAAGCTTTTAATAAATTTTAGCATTAATTTGGAAGATAAATTGAAGTAAAAAAATTAAAAATAGCTAGTCGGTAATATGGTAGCACAACCAGGACCATATCCTGCGCACCTGAGACAATACCTGAATTTCGACTTTCCGTCACGTGGAGAAAACATATTATGTGTGGATTTGTGTTCCAAAAAGGAATTGGAAAGGATGACCTAGAAAAAATTGATTTTCCAATCAGCCCCTTGTGAAACATCTCCTGAAAGCTTAAATTTTTATTCCCTCCTGCTGGATTAGTAGGTAGGTACCGGCGATAGGTACTTCAGTGCACCTTCTAATTTAAGACAATAGTGATAGGTGGTTGGACTTTGCGCCCGCGCATGTTAGGATGTTACTAGTTAGGCTAAAATCAAATGTTCAAGGTGTGGCTCCAGTCTGCAAAGCATGGCACTTTCAATGAGATTGCATCTCATTGGTGTGGGCAGGCAGGGGCCTCTTTGGCTGTTGCAGGTTGGGTGCAGTGTGGTGTAGATTTGGCGATTTGGCTTGGTGAGAGATACATATGATGGACCATAAGAGATCGTTAAGGAAAATGGAAAAACATTGTAGGAGCTTTTACTTGTAATTCAGTTCAGTCTGCTCTCAGGGCAGTGTTTCACGGCACTGCAGCGTGCTGCCGTGCGTTGTTTTATTGGTGCATTTTAAGATGAATTCAGTGCCTTACACCCCAGTGTTGTGAGCATCTGAGTTTGTTGATGTTTCTATGGAAACCCAATACACTGCTACTCACAGCACAGTGTTGTGAAACACCACCCATGGCCAGGTTTGAGTGAGTGTGTGGTGGTCAAAATGGACTTGCCAGCGCCAGCGGCATGTACTGAATATGGTTCTTGTGGTTCTTATCAAGTGATAAGGGACACACTGTAACTAGTTTAAGTAGTCATTTTGTAGTTTGGTCTATTCAGGTCAGATACTTTTTGCTTCACACAGCAGTTGGGCAAACTAGGCGGCGGGAATCAAAATATGGAGGCATCAAAATATTGATTCTGGTGGGCGGAGCTTTGACCATATATGGGCATAGAATCAATATTTTGATTCAATTTGGGACACTCCCACCTTCAGACGACCCGTTACGGCGGAAATAACCCCCATGACGGCGAGATTTTTTGACAAGTCAATACAAAAAACTTCCCCGCTTCAATTTTTCGCTGCATGGCTATCAGCCGTTTGTCGCGCGTACCTTTACGAATGGCATAAAGATTCCGCCGCCATAATTCAACAAAAACGTGCTGTTAAAATTTGCTCTGTTTATCATTAACGACGAGCCTTTGTAATTTTTTCATAATTTTGTCTAAAAGAAAATAAAAAATGCGTTATTTAGTGGTATAATTCATTTATAAGAAATATTCTTTTTCTTTGCATCTAGCCACGATTTCCGGTTCCCGCCATTTCGCGCCGGCGTCGTGGGTGTCCGGATGCAACGTAGTGCTCCCGGTTTTATTTTGTTTAAGCGACCTTTTCTGAAGTGTAAGTAACAATGGATCATATTTTAAGACACTTTGAAGTGTGTTTTTCAATTTCAGGCATGTGATCTTAACGTTTCTTACCGAAAACTCATTTTAAGAGATGGTTTTAGGAACATGGCGCGGTAGCGACGTCAGCGGCGCGGGACGCCTTCTCACTCTTCTATTGTTTTTTTAAGCTATATATTTTTTGAAAATGATGTCTTAGGTGTAGTATTTCAGTGAAATATGATGTCCTCTAAAATTTACGGTATAAATTAGTTACAAGAAGCCTAATGTTTTGTCTCACATTATAGAATTGTTGGGTGGACTCATGAAATTGGGGCAGTGCATGTCCTGTATTTTACATTATTTGGATGTTTTAGCCTCTGCTTGTGTCTCACTCACCCAATTGTTGCTACAACTTTTATTTGTAGCATTTAAATTTTTAAGGGCAACTAGGCTATTGACTTGTTCCAAGTTAAGATTGAAAAGTCGCAGTGCATGTTCGTGTTTGCCTTATCTAAATAGTAGGTATGTAAGCTTGGCTTGTAATTGCTTCGCCCATTTTTGCTACATATTTAATGATGCTTATTTTAAGTGTAACAAAAGCAAGTTGCTGAATGGTGTAAGCCATATTTACATTATGCGTGATCTTCCAGAAAATTATGTGTCTAATGTACGTCAGTCCAGGGAATGCTGGATAGTTAATGTTCAGGATTGTCCATGCCAATGTTAATTTTAGAGGCCAGTTTTATCAACACAAATAGCTGCCTGCTGGATTTTTTTGCCTAAAGACTGCTTCACATATGGAGCGTTAACATGATGGGCACGTAAACGGATAGGGCTGTACCGTTCATGCTCTGTATGTGAAGTAACTTTTAGTCAAAAAAAAGTCCAGCTGCCACCTATTTTTCTGTTGGTACAACTGGCCTCAAATCTACTTTTTTGGCAGAATTTATATAACTGCATGAGATGACAGTTGTTGGTGCACCTGGTGGCATTCAGTGGAAATTTAAGTGACATTAAGTATTTAATTTTTTATTGAATATATTCTAAAATTAATAGTTGCTGAACAAGTAGAATAATAACACATATAGTTTCCTAATTTATTGTTCACAAATGTCCTAATTATTGTGTTCTGTTGTTTGCTGCAGGTCAACCAAGGTTCAAACACTGGTCGTTGCGGGGATCGGCTTCAGAGGGTCAAGGGTGGCGTCTTGAATCGCTGTTCAGTCGACAGGCAGCTGTACGACAACGCCATCCCTGTCAACCAGAGCGTCGACCGAAGTAGGGCGGCGTTGCGCGGACCTGGCCGCACCCGACCAACCGGTGGAGTACCTGACGGGCTGGGCGGAGACTACCTACATCACGACCTTTTGAACTTTGATCTCGTGGCGAGAAACAATATGACGTAAGGAAGTGTGTATGTGGCTGGCGGGGCCGAGGGTGAAATGCGCCACGTGTTTATCCTGCCGGATGACGACAGCGTCACCAACCTGTCAAAGAACGAGCTGGTGCAGCGCGTGATGACTGCCATCTCGTCCCTAGAACCGGAGTAGAAAAACGTGCGCATAGCCCAAATGAAGCGAACCAAAACACAGACAGGACTGATAGCTTTTCGGTCGAGAATGTTCTGAAGATGCTCATCAGTAGACCAATTGGTGACCGCTTTCGGTGGTAATATGGGATCTTGTGGTGTTCCAAAGCGACCTGCTCTGGGTGTGGACATAAGTGGCTCAACCTGACAGGATTGATGTTTTAGGTAGCCGTGCTAATCATAAACCCCATATTGAGTGTATATGTACAAATTTTGTTTATATTTATTTCATGTATTTGATTCGAAACTGAAAATTGCTCTTTGTAATTAGGCAACATCGAGACGTTGAGGTCATTCTCCAGACGTTTATTTGTTTTTTCTTACCTGTCCACGGTATGTCTTATTGGTTAGGTCTCAGTTTCAAATATTATTAACTGCATGTTTTGCAAATACGTAGCCATATTGAATAAGAGACGTCCTAAAAGTGAGTATTGCTTTGCATGGGATGTGAGCATCAACGACAGGGCTTTGTGATGGCAAATGTGTGGCAATTGCAGGGATCGTAGTGAAATGTGTTATGAATATCATCGTATTATTTGCGACTGCAAATACATCCGTGTATATTTTCATTCAAAGTGTGCAATTTGTGCAACGGGCTTGAGTATATTGTTCGGCGAAATATCTCTTACTGTACTCCACAGAAATGGGACGGGATACAGATGCGTAGAAACACATTCATGAACACGTGAAAGACGATAAGTAAACTTTTTTTTTTACTCAAAATCAATGCTACAAAGCAGGGATGTGGAGCCGTGAAAATGGCAGACGGCTTCGGCTCCGGAGGGGAAAATCGGCTCCGGCTCCGAGTAAAATGGTCGGGCTTCGGTTCCGGCTCCGACTCAGTACAACCCCTATACAAAGGTCAGCACGGCTCCCTTCACGCATTCCCTCGAAGGCTTGCGGCTTTGAGCAGGGAGCCAGGGTGAGTGCTGAAAATCCCTGGTCTACCGTGGGAATAAGGTCTAGAAAAAAATTACACGATCCTGTGCTGATAATATCTTCATGAATTTATTGAATTTGCATTATTTGCACACAAGAAACATTCCATAAATCGATTTGAAGAGTGAAGTACGTCTGCAGAAAGTCAGTTCGCAGAATCAATATATTGATAAACCAGCTGATTTCAGAATCAAAATAATGATTAGCCAGCTGTTTGCGGAATCAAAACATTGATTCTCGCCGGGATTAGCCGCCGTGATGAATCAATTTCTTGATTATTTTCAAGACGCTTTCCTAAACTAACCAAAGAGGTTAGGGCTATTGTTTCGTGCCTGGCGGGTAGCTTCAACGTTGTTCTTCATTTTGTGAAGAAACTATCTTGAAATTATAGCCGGTTGCTGAAGAATTGACGTTTCTGTGATGGTCTGCACGTATGCCCATATATGGTCAAAGCTCCGCCCACTAGAATCAATATTTTGATGCCTCCATATTTTGATTCCCGCCGCCTAGTTTGCCCAACTGACAGTGTCTGTCAATCACATTGTCTCCCTATTGTTCACAGTTTGTCAGGTCTCCATTTTGCAGCTGTCTGCAGCCATGGGCCTGACGAAGCAGTACCTACGTTTCGAAGCGGGTCCGGTGTTTGGTGTGATCGGCAGCCGCGACTGCAACATATGCTGGCTGGAGCTGAACAAGGTGTCGCGCCGGTACGTGGCGGCGGCCGCCTGTGAGAAG